GTGAATGTAATCAGGCTGGAGATAAAACATAACCTCTCCAGGCTCTGACCCCTGAGCGAAATGCAGACACGGGAATGCGACAACGGAATGCGACGCGGAATGGGACAGTAAATACGAGGAGTGGACAGAAATACAGGCGGAATGGACACGAAATGGCGAGGCAACATGGACAGGATAATACGAGGGAAAATGGACCAGAAATACGAGGGCGAATGGACAGGAAAATACGACTGGGAATGGACAGGGAAATACGAGGAATGGACTGAGGCAATGCGACCGAATGGACAGGAAATGCCGACGGAATAGGACAGGAAATGCGAGTCGCATTATGACAGGAAAACGAGGGAAGGACCTGAGGAAATACGATGTGTAATGACTGAGAGATGCGAGGGGAATGGACTGAGGAACATACGACGGTGGAATGGATCGTGAGAAATATCGGAGGGGAAGTGCATCTGAGGCGCGAATACGAAGAGATGGACAGCGAAATACGAGGGAATGGCACTGAGAGAAATACGAGGAATGGACTGAGGAAATGCGAGGGAATGGGAAATACGAGGGAATGGACTGAGGAAATGCTTGAGGAATGGACGAGGAATGCGAGGAATGCGACAGGAAATGAGGACTGGGGAACGAGCGACAGAAATTACGAGATATATTAGGAAATTGTTATTGACATGGACAGGAAATGCGAGGGAATGGACATGAAATGCGAGGAGATGACAGGAAATACGCAGGAATGGACAGGAAATACTTATGGGAATGTGACAGGAAATGAGGGAATGGACAGGAATGCGAGGGAATGGACTGAGGAAATGCGAGGGAATGGACAGGAAATACGAGGGAATGGACAGGAAATACGAGGAAATACGAGGAATGGACTGAGGAATACGAGGGAATGGACTGAGGAAATGCGAGGGAATGGACTGAGCGAATGGGAACGTGTGCCTTGGCCCAGTGTGGGAGGGAGACTGAGAGTAAAACGCGACCCGCCAACGATCAGGAGTATGATTTTCCCAAATAGCGACGTTGCGACCCATAACGCAAACGCCAAACAGCGCTATGTATCGTAGGCTTTTTATTTCCTAAAAGAACGGCTCGAACGACCAATCAGCGTTGGCTCGGTTAAATAAATCGACCAATCACAGAACGTTTTACACTAAACGGACGCAACACTAATGAGGATTACATGTATCAGTTTCTTTAGTCTATGTCTATCTATCTATAGCTATATCTTTCTATCTATCTATACCTACATCTATCAACCTGTATATCTATTTACATATATCTACACAAATTTATATTCATAGGTATATATTTGTAAATGTGTATATATATATGTATTTATAACATCAACACCAAACTTATATTCATAGCTATTATATTTGTAAATGCGTATATGATATATGTATTTACCATCACACAGACACGTCACAAACACACACACACAACAACACACACACACACACACAACACACACACACCACACACACACATCATATAACGCACACCACACACATGTATATATATATACACTATATATATATATATAATATAATAATATATATATATATTATATTTGTAAATGTGTGTGTGTGTGTGTGTGTGTGTGTGTAGTATATATACATAATATAAAATATATATATACTATATATATACATATACATACATACTTACAATATTTATCTATCTACCTATCTATCTATCTATCTATATCCTATCTTATTATCTATCTACATATATATAATATATATATATATATATATATATATATTATAATATATATATATAATATATATTATATATATATATATATATATATATATATGTATTCATATATATATACATATATATATATAATATATATATATATATATATATATATAATATATATATATATATACATACATATATATATATATATATATATATATATATATATATATATATATAATATATATATATATATTTATATTACATTTATACATTTATATGCACACGGATATGTATATATACATGTGCGCTGTGTGTGTGTGTGTGTGTGTGTGTGTGTGTGTGTGTGTGTGGTGTTGTGTGGTGTGTGTGTGTGTGTGTGTGTGTGTGTGTGCTTGTATGTGCGTGTGCGTGTGCGTGTGCGTGTGCGGTGCGTGTGCGTGTGCGTGTGCTGTTGCGTGGCGTGTGCGTGTGCGTGCGCGTGTGCATGTTGCGTGTGGTGTGCGTGTGCGTGTGTGTGTATGCATATGCGTGTGTGTGTGTGTATCCGTGTGTGTGTGTGTGTGTGTGTATGCGTGTGTTTGCGTTGTGTGTGTGTGTGTGTGTTGTGTGTGTGTCGTGTGGTGTGGTGTGTGTGGTGTGTGTGTGTGTGTGTGTGTGTTGTATATAGATACATATATATATATATATATATAATATATATATACTATTATATATACTATATATACATATACAACATACATGGTGTGTGTGTGTGTGTGTGTGTGTTGCGTGTGTTTGTGGTGTG